GCAACTGCTACAGAAAAGCATGCATTCCATGCAAAAGTTGATTTTTATGCAAACCCCATGCATCTCATTACCCAAGAATGGGTATAAAAACATATGCGTTAACGGGATTCCATATGCATTGTTTAGCATCGTGTGAAAACAACCACTCACAAAAACAACAAAATTACGCAATTATTCAACATTACGAAATGCCACGCCTTTCCGAAAATGAGCGTCTGCGAGCCATTGGTATGCTTGAAGCAGGATCGAGTCAACGTGATGTTGCAAGACAATTTAACGTCCACAGAAACACCATCTGGTGTTGTGAATATCTTCACAAACCGTACGTCGTCGCCTCAGATGTGCAGGGATTGTCGCCAGAAGACCCACCAGACGTCCCATTTTGACAGGAGACCACCGTCAAGCACGTCTACAGTGGTGCAGACAGCGTCTACGCTGGACGGCCATGCAGTGGGGACAAGTTCTATTCACTGACGAGTCTCGTTTTCACCTCAGCCACAGCGATGGACGGATTCGAGTGTACCGACGTCGGAGTGAACGTTACGTCAATCATTGTGTCATGGAAGAAGATCGGTTCGGGGGCGGCAGAGTTATGGTATGGGGTGAGATTACAGCAGGACAGAGGACCCGTTTGATAGTGGTAGAGGGAAATCTCAATGGACAGCGCTACCGCGACGAGATCATCGGCCCTGTTGTTCTACCGTTTTTGCGTCGTCATGGCCCAGGCGTTACCTTTCAACATGACAACGCCCGGCCTCATCTTGCTCGACTTGTTCAGGATTCTCTTCAACAAAACAACGTGAATGTCATCCCCTGGCCGGCTTAGCTCCCATGATCTCTCACCAATCGAGCACATGTGGGATGAGATGGATCGGCGCCTTCGACGTCAACCACGTGTTCCACAGACACTCCAGGAACTTCGAAACATGCTCCGGTAGATATGAACAGATATCCCACAGGACTTTGTGCGACGCCTGATCCATACCATGAGACGAAGATGTGTTGCTTGCATCGCAGCCAGAGGTGGACACACCCGCTATTGATTTGTAAATTGACATTTTGGCATGTTCATGTTTTTTTAATGAAATCACGCATTTTCTGAAGTCAGTATGGCAAATTAAACCATTTGAAGAGGAATCTTTTATCTGTTGCAAACCGAAATTGTTTCAGATTTGGTAAAAACATAACTTTGCATTAAATCTTATTCAATGTCACAGGAACTTTTGTTGTTCAGTATAGATTCGTAACGTACATTATCAATCATGAATGCAATTGTTTCGGCAAGTAACTGCAATAGTTAGTTAATAGTGGTGACTAACGGACGATTTTCGATGTTCCCGCCATCCCGCCCGAATATTGGTGCAAGCTCACTGTCTCACTATCTCACTTAGAACATGACGCCACAGAATAGCTTCCAAGTATAGCATACTTTTCACAAACAAGTGTATTGGGTGGTCGTATCTTGTCCAACCGATGGCTTATCATAAGTAACAACGTATACACATGGAAATTAGTTAAGCAACACCCGAATATTCTCAGACCGGGCAACTTTAATCAACTAATGCAAGAAATGTGTAAAGGCTTTCCATACCAAATCAATTATTTACTGAAAAGAAAGGGTTGAGGAGGAACATAGCCAAGACTACCATGAAATAATGTGTTTTTTTGGAGATGTTACAGACTTGGAAAATGACTTAATTTCATCCAAAAACATACGAATGTCACTTTCGTGGCACAGACTAAGCTGTCTGTACCATGCACACTTCTGGTTCACGGAATTGAAGAACAATGTCCTGCAAGTCCAAATATTGACTTTCCATCATTATCTTGTGTAACCTCCCTGAACCCGAACAACTTCTTCAAGATGCCTCCTCATTCTTTGGATCAATCGCTGGATTTGATTCTGAGGAATTCTGCCTCAGTTCTCATGCAAAGCAGCAGTCAATTCATTGAGCGTATGGACAGGTGGGTCTCTTTGTCGAACGGGACGGCCTAAAATGGGACAGAATGGTAATTGGTATGGAAATCTTGTACCCATTTCATGCACTTGTTCATTAAAGTTGCTAAGCCTGAGAACATACGGGTGTTGTTTAACTAATTTCCATGTGTATATAAGACCAAGGAAAATCAAACACGGGTAAACAGTTAACGCTCAACACTTTCATCCGCGAGCTTTCGGGGGAGGCTTTTTAACTGCATGGTTGGCCGATTGTCATTCTGTGTGATCAGGATTACCGTTAACTAGTTTCTTGGTTGACACAATCTTTGAACAACAAACTGCGTGATCCCACTGTGATATTAATGAGCACAAACAAGTTGTTTTCTAAGATATCTTTCTCGTGTACAAATACCCCAAGTAACACTCATACAATATTGTACTAAAACACGACAGTGTAATAAATAATTCACAATTGTTTCTCGCACACCAAGCAAGCTGCGATTCTAGAAGTTCTCATACTTTACGCAGTCAGTTTAGTTAGACGTCAATATTGATGCTGGTCGGTCCTGCATATCTAAACAGGGAAATGCGTTTATTTATACAACGCCACGAAAATACCGTTTTGTATTGCTATGCAACGAAACTTTATCTGGGAACCCCGACCTCCGTAGAATTACAGTGTGCTGTTACTCGTATGTAAATCAAGAATCTCTCATGTCTTAATGAGATCTAAACTCGTTTACGTGAATCATAAAATATATTTTATATCCAATTCGACAACATGTAAGAATTAGTGTATATGGTTTTAAGCCGCTCCTATACAAGCGACAAAACTCTTTCCAAAATCTTAATTCAAAACGTTAACGCCAGAGAAAAGTCAGTCTCGATTACAAGTATCTGCCGCAAAACATAGTAAGCACAGATTGAAACCAGAAGTTTGGTCAGCAACAATCATGCTCTAGTACAGCGGCCTGTAAAAATCGAATCGTGACCAGATAAACAAGTGGTTGATATTATGAACATCATCACAATACGTTGATATTTGTGACCTTATGTAGTCAGACTATAGGGTATTTATAATATAATATAGCTATAAATCTAGAAGCTAAATGTGTACATTGTGCATGTAAATATATCTGAACAAACGCCTGAAAACATTCCGTCCTCCATAGAAATTGTGTCCAATCTTTGAAAAGTAAACTCAAATATGCTTAGAAAAATAACCTAGACATTAATAAATGGTTTAATTGCTTATTTGATTATACACCGAAGCTAGGATCCGATATATGACTGAAAATGCATCTGACAGTCACTAAAGACCTATAACTGCTACGAATTGTTATCGGTACTTTTTGTAAAATGCGGCTTAGAAATAAGACACCCCAAAGGAAATTAGACAGAGTTGTCTCCCCGGATAACTCTCCACTTCCGGTGCGTACATTCGAAACGAAACATGGCAGACGATAAATATTTGACACTTACTTACAGATAACAACCGCTATCTTCTTGGTATCGAGTTAATTAACATACTGATATGTGTACACAGGGTTGGATTTATGTATAAAATATCAGTATTATGACAATTCTGACTGCGATATCCCGGTATCAAACCAAAGAGCCCCATACCAATATCAATCACTGGAAAAAAGGGAAACAAGAAAATATTGAAATACAAAGAAAGTAGCCAGCCATTCAGAGAGACTAATGACAGCTTAGATTTACAAAATATAATTTCTATGTCATTTGGAAAAAGGGAAAGTCCAAAAGAAGGAAAGGAAACAATAGGCAAAGATTTTTCAAGAGTATATTTTCATATTCATTTTAAAAAAACGAGAAGTAGTAGTTTGTAGTTTGTTCTGGTGTGATGCAGGTGGACGAATGGATGGACATAAAAACCGTAATTAACTTCTGAGAAGCATGGATATTTAGGATGGCTGCAGATGAGAAATGCACAACACAGTACAGGTACCTTTATATAGGCCCTTGTTCAGTAAAGGAATGAAACGAATGCCCCTTTTTACGCAAGCGTGACAACGATGTTTCCATAAAACGTTTTATTCCTTTCGCAAGACATAACATAGAAAGAGGGTTTAATATCCTATAGTTACATTAACGCTCTATTACTATATAAAAATTAATAAATAAATAACATTTGAAATGAATGACGGTGATTAAATATTTACTTGAGTGAGTGAGTGAGTTGGGTTTAACGCTGCTTTAAACAGTATTCCAGTTATATCACGGCGTGTCAGCTTAATGTGGGAGGAAAGCCCGAAGTGATGGTTATCTCAGACGTTTACCACTTCGGCGAAACCCTTGAGCACGGGTATGTTGCTGACAAACCTCGAAACATAATAGGGGCGAACCGGGATTCGAACATACAATGATAGGTTTCTGACGTGCCCAAGGGACGCAACTCTGCACAGCGAATTGCGGCGCCTTACACGACTGGGCCACCCGTGCACCCCTAAATATTCACTTGAAAGCAAATGAAGGAGAACGTATGTTCATGCTGCATCATAGTAATTGAGTCAGGGTCTGGTTGTCTGATAACTCGATTACTAACAGACAGAGGGGATATAGCTGTGATGTTTAAAACACCGTAAAACAACAAACTAAACAAATAAAACGTGTCCAAATCTGACAATAGTCATCTTCCCGTAGCAAGGGCGTTAACTGAGTTTGAAAGTCCAGTTTCCACTATTGCCGAACTAGGCTGGAATTTCCAGGCTCGGACGTAGCGCCACCAGTGGCTATTACGAGTTATTTCCCTTCTAAGCCTCTCCTATGGACAGTACACAAGCTTTGCAAATCCTGCAGTCGACCGAAATCTGCACGTTGAAATCCATGTTGTTTAGGAATCGGGTGTTTACATCGTTACGTTATTTTGATTGGACTATACATAGACTCGTAAGTTCAGTCGGAATTCTTGCCTAGATCGGCAAGGGTGGAAACTGGACTCTTATTCTCAGTTAATGCCCTTGCCTCGCGAAGATGGACAATGGTCTGCTTAAAACGTTAAAACGTATCTTTAAAGACATATAAAGTCATCATGCGGGACAAATATATTTATTCAAAACATTCTCTTTTACATAAACTTTAATTGAATTCTCCGTCGACGTCAAGGTGGATAGCTGGAAACTGATCATGGCGATCGAAGACACACTGTGTCAAAATGACTTGTTTGCCAGCACGCATGACGACAAGATGTATCGGATTTGCATAACTGGTGTCCTGAAAATATATAAGGAATAAAAAAGAATCATTTTAAGTTCAATAACCCATTTGGATATTGGTAAATTGTGTTTCAGATTCGGATTCATCAATCGTTCTTAGTTGACTGTACAGTGTCATACACGTTTCATACAAACGTCACACTTAGTGTTCTTCATAATGTCATATAAATTTATATAAGTGTCGACACGCAAGAAATATATGATCGTGGGTTCGAATCCCGGTTCGCCCCTATTATGTTTCTAGGTTTGTCAGCACCATACCCGTGCTCGTGGTTTTCACCGAAGTGGTAAACGTCTGAGACCTGCATCACTTCGGGCTGTCCTCTCACATTTAGCTGACACGCCGTGATATAACTGGAATACAGTTTAAAGCAGCGTTAAACCCAACTCACTCACTCATATAAGTGGCATGCAAAGTTTCGTACAAGTGTAATGCATGTGTCATACACATGTCATACAAATGTCATACAAGTAGCATATAAGTGGCATACGGAATGTCATGGTTTCTACACCTTTCGGGAATCTGTAAATGTTCACAGAGATCACCACCAGTAAAACAGATGAGATTTGTTCCTTATGGGGGCACGGGTGGCTCAGTCGTCTAAGGCGCCGAAATTCGCTGTGCAGAGTTGCGTCCCTTAGGCACGCCAGAAACCTATGATTGTGGGTTCGAATCCCGGTTCGCCCCGATGATGTTTCTAGGTTTGTCAGCACCATACCCGTGCTCGTGGGTTTCACCGAAGTGGTAAACGCCTGAGACCTGCATCACTTCGGGCTTTCCCCCTACATTAAGCTGACACGTCGTGATTTAACTGGAATACTGTTAAAAGCGGCGTTAAACCCAACTCACTCATTCACTCATTCAAAGATCAATCAATCTACATCATAATAACATTCATACTGTACACCAGGGAAATATCCACAAATGTGAATGAATCTTATTTTGCGCCACAATAACTAATTTTCCAGATACACCGAGACTGCCTGAAAATAATCATGTCTCGTTCAGACAACTAGTAGTGGTCTACATCAGCATCAGCACACGCCGCCCGGATGCAGTCCATTAGGCATACAATGTAACATCGTCAACAGTTCACCGATCGGAACACAATACGTTCCTCCGTCACCCGTGAAAACGTACGGTCGCTTTGCGGTGTAGTCTGATTTTACAACCAACGAATCAAAGGACGGTTCCAGCGAGAGGAAAGCCAGCGAGTACTCAGATAATGAGTGTTCAGGTAACATCGGCAAATGTCATGGTTTCTCGCTTGATAAGGTGATTGAAATGGTATGCTTGGTGCAAAGTTCACGCTCGACGTAGGCCTCATATATTGTTATAACGGCCTCATTTAGACACATATCACCATTATCGTCCGCCAATGTATTGACGGGTGATGGAAGAACGAAGCGTGGAGTCTTGACAACACTGTAAACACCAGATTCTCATTGAAAGTTCTTATCATAAGTATAGGGGACTCCTCCATTATGGCCTATTATATCCCCAAAGAGGCATGAAACACATGTTCCAATCCAGTGTAGGCGTGGTATGTTTGAAACTTATCACCTTAATAGCAGTATTAATGTACTAAAAGTGCAAACGATTTAGATATCAATGTAAACCTAAGCAGTTCAACAATGATTAAAATATCTGAATATCATCATTTACAATTTAAAGGTTAAATTATTTGTGACACGATTCCAACATATGTGTCTTCGGCGGGAATACGCATGAAATATTAACACTAATTTAGAATTGTATTTGTATACTGGATGTGCTTCAATATTTCGAAAGAGATTCTACATAAGAGGTTAAGTGACAAGAAACTCACTCCACAGCCTCTTTTGCTTTGAGATAACCGACACACTCTTTGGTTGGCTGTTGAGCGTCAGAACAACAGCTTTCGTGGCACCATCCTGACTGACTCGGACAAGTCTGAAATCGTTGACACATGTAATGTAGAGCACACTGTTCTCTCTCCTTCTCTCTATCTACATATGCGTGAAAATCATTCCAATATGACTTTGAAGTGGCCTGAAGATCAGTCAAAGTACTTTATATATATAAGAGTACGAATGTCATTACAATGCCACCATAACACCCGATTCAGAATTCCAATGTGTAATACCATTTCTGAACACAAGACAAATTATAATCTGGACCATCTCAACTTGTATGAGGGCCATAAGTCTAATGCTGGATTGAAACACGTGGGAAAATCAAATTGGTAAATGTTACGCAATGGTCTTGGCATGCCACAAGAAGACTTCGTCCTAGTGTCAGGCATACATTAAGCAATCTTCATTACGGTCCACGTTTAAAAAAATGAGAAAACTACATGGGTTAAAAAGATTGGTTGTTTGAACAAATTTCAGACAGACTAGAGCCTGAATGCTTGACCAATGATCCACGTCATTGGGAGCACGATGGTAAACCAGGTCTCAAAACCTCACCACCCATTTCCAGTTTAAGATGACTCCTACGACAACAATGATATTCTGTTCTGGTGGGCTACACCGAACCAGAATCTCACAGGGCGCGGTCTTGATACTACCACTATCTTGTATTATACAATACTGACCACCTATCATCCTCATTTATTGAACTTTACCTTCCTTCACTATCGACATGAAAGTAGTAGTCGTCAGTCCGCCCATACAGCACACTGACATGTTCCATAACCACGGTCACACCCTTGCCATCTGTTCCTGCACTGAACACTCGTCCTTCAGCAAACCAGGTCAACCTGTTGGCTGCAAGGTATATTTCACTGTAAATATAGCATCATGTATACAAATGCAGTCAACGTCGCTGAGGAGTCAGTGGTGGCCATGTCGTCTAAGGATCGTGTGGACGTGGGTTCGACTCCCCGAGTCTCCAATATCATGATAACCATAATATCCGAGTTCTTGGGTTTCACCAAAGCGGTAATCGTCTAGGGCCTGCATTACTCTGGGTATTTCTCTAACGTTGAACTAACACGCCGTGATACAACTGAAATACTGTTAAAAGACCACGTTGAACAAAACTCACAAAGACTGAACAAAGAGACAATCGCCTAGGACCTGTTTCACTTCGGGTGTTTCTCGCACATAAAACTAACACGTAATGATACAAATGCAATTATGTTAAATTTACTCAATGGTTGATGCAGAAACATATCCCGACATATCCCGTTGTATTCACATTCACAATCGGGGCAATACACGAGGGTAATTCAAGAAACGTCATTATGTTGTTCCGCAAGGTCAGCTGGTAAAATATTCTTTAGGCTGTTTATACGATTATATGGGGAATAAAATTGGATCAGGGTCCCGATCCGCAAAGCGTTCGCAATCTTACGACCTATCGTAACTCTATAGTTAATCATAGACTTGCCAATGTCGTAGCTACGAAGTCTTTGTGGATCAAGCCCCAGGAGTACTCCAAATACAGTGAGTGAGTGAGTGAGTTGGGTTTAACGTCGCTTTTAACAGTATTCCAGTTATATCACGGCGTGGCAGCTTAATGGGGGAGGAAAGCCCGAAGTGATGCAGGTCTCCGACGTGTACCACTTCGGTGAAACCAACGAGCACGGGTATGTTGCTGACAAACCTAGAAACATAATCGGGGAGAGCCGGGATTCGAACCCACAATCATAGGTTTCTGGCGTGCCCAACGGACGCAACTCTGTACAGCGAATCGCGGCGCCTTAGACAACTTGACCACCCGTGACCCCACTCAAAATACAAGTATGTGCGAGCTGGCCAACGGTCACTTACATACGTGTTTTATTCGTTTCATTTTTGGAACGACTACATATTTAGATAAACATGTTATAAAATGGTTAAGTTACCATAATCTAATTAAAAAACGTGCAATACTATATTAATTTGCGTATTTACTCCTTGTTTACAATGGTTGTGCAGTTCCACGGGATTGCATTGAAGCCTCATGGAAAGCTGGCGATATTGTCACTTTGATGTATAAAAACATATTCTCATAGTCATCACTGTCGCGTTTGAAGAAGCATATCTTTATATTATACAAAAAAATTGCAAGTCGCACTGAACAGCTTCAAAGGCCCGTCTGCTGTGTCTTCAGATTAAGCTCTTTATGGACAAGTCATGTGGAACAAGTAGACAGAAGTGGGAACTAACGAAAGTAACTGCACCGATATCCGTGTCCCTAGGGATGATATAATGATGTTCTGTACAGCCTAATGAGATACCATGGGGAAGTACCTTCTTCGTTGATCTTCAGACCCCAGATTGCCGTATCTAGAATGAGTAATGGGGATCTTTTCTTTTGACCAAAATGATACATCATTATCTTGTTATGTTCCGTCCAGTACATTGTGCTGAAAGATAATGCACATTTCAAATGAATTTCAAAAGTACTCAAAGGTAACGGTGATCGCATTAATGCAAATGGCAATTAATAAAAAAAGAGACATGGACTATACCAAATGACGGAGTGATCGATCGATCGATCATCTTATTGCGCATCGAGTTTGGGCCAAGCAACCAGTGGTTTGTCGCATGGTCACAACTACGAACGAGATACGATGACAACAATTCAGCTACGTAACACTGCCCAACTTACCTAACCCTTTTTCAGACATCTCTTACAAGGTGTGGCACAAGGGACATATCTTGGGTTCGATTCCCGACATGGGTACAATGTGTGAAGCCCATTTCTGGTGTCCCCCGCCGTGATATTGCTGGAATATTGCTAAAAGCGGCGTAAAACCTGACTCATTCACTCTTGACTCCATACAGGGAGTTTAGAATCTTTCATTAAATGGTCTAATAACCCAAGACAAAATGTAGGTTTGTACACAAATATGGTCTTAGCTAGTTGTCTGAAGTCTGTAAAGTGATACTAGTTGTTGTCCTGTTTGCCATGTCTAGTTCAGGATCATCCTATAATAATTAATATCACAAAATCATTTTTGTATTGGTCCACATAGAAAGTATTTGAAACTTACAACTTTTGCTGATTGATGACAAGATCACGTGGTTTCTCGAGACCATCAAGCACGAGAATGTCAGTGTCAACGTCAGAGGTCCCGGCCCTCAGGGAGCCGCTGAACAGGGTGAAGAACACAATGCCTGATCTACTGTCCACAGCCAGACCCGTGATCTCGTCTGAGGAGTGGAATGTAATCGGTTGTCACTCCGTATATGTCGAATAATCGGTTACGTGGAATAGTTAGACATGTCGTACAGTCGAATATATCGCATATTTTACCGAGGGTGAGATGGTCAAAATGCCGATTGTGATTTTAGTTGGAAAGTTTACAAATTAAATCAGGATGTTCATGAACTTATGCTACACGCAGGTCTACATCAGGATTCTTTTGTCTGCCGTTGACATTCATCACGTCATGACACAACGTCGTTATTAATAATGTACAAAAGCTTCGTTTTCAAAATATATAACATCGATACTTTTCAACTGCCAACCAGTTCCCTGGAGAGGATTAAACCGTAAAAACATGATGCTGATGTAGCTGTAAGCGGCTTCTTTGTCCCAACACCTACCGTCCAGCGTCAACAATAGCTTAGGTTGACTGCCGTCCCACTTTATTTGCCTGATCGTGGCAGGCCAATCTGTGCAGTAGTAGATGAAGTCGTCACTGTAGTCATGGAGAGAAACGCTGCCAGTGGAGGTGGGGAGGCTGAGGTGGTCCTGGTCAAGGCGGCTCATGTGAAGCTTGGTCAGCGTCTTCTGACCAGTGGTCATCAGGATGTAGTGATCAAAGCGTTCGTAGGCTGTAATGCAGACAATGACGCTGTAACCAATATGGGCAAGGATATCGTTCCAATTATTTTCATTATTTCTCACTGGGCATTATGTTTGCTTCGTGGTCATTGGCTTGTTCCCGCTGTTTTTTTGCACTGTTTCCCTTGTTTTGAGAAGCGGCCCATAACAACGTGAGGTCACATCAACGCATTGTATCACAATAATTAGTAATTAACTTATATGAAAGACAGCGTCCTCCATTGTTTATGACGGCAATATGTGACATCGTTCTGACAAAAGATTGACTGAGCCTGTGTCTCCACTTGTGATAGGAAACACACAGTTTACAACATTTTCCGGAAAAGGATTCTGGGTAATATATAGAATAACCTTTTCGCAACTCGGAATTACAGCTTAACAGTCCCTAGTGAAATTCATTGCGAAAGCTTTTTTCAAACTGAATTTATTCGGCAAAGATATTCAGTAATAGCTTATTATATAAACAATCACGTCTTGATATTCGCTTATCTCTGGAGGAAACATGTCTTTTGATAAAACTCTTGTCACGTGACACAGCACACGTTAACCTCTGAGACAGCTCAATAAAACAGATGTTGTTTATCAATTTTGAATTTGTCTTAATTATTTTACTGTGGCAGATTGAAACAGGTCAGCAAGATAATTTCGTTGAAGATAAATTATACACTTATAATGTAAACCGAATAACATCAAAGCGTCCATTTAATTCCAAAAAGTAGCATCTTTCAAATTTTATCGAATCCACCGAATGCTTTCTCTATCTGTACGTTTAATGATTTACAGCGCGATTGAAAGGTCATCAGACTGCCATTAGGAAATGTAAGCCGGATGATCTATTTTGAATATTTGTTCGAGGCATCCGTGAAACGACGGATATGATTGACATCATGCATAAAATGTAATAATTAATGTATATTAGATATATTAAATAGTCACCTTTACATGATGCTTGGGACGATGCCCCGATCAGCGACGTGGTGGAGAAACCATGGCACGGCTTACAGTCCATCTTTCCATGTTGGTCCTGGTAGAATCCTTGGGAACAGGAGTGACACATCTTGTCCAAAAAGAAGGTCCCGGGCGCGCATTTAACTGCAAAATGGAGAGTTTGGTGAGCGTTGGGAAAGAGTGGGTGAGTGAGTGAGGTTGATTTTACGCCGCTTTTAGCAATATTCCAGCAATATCTCGGCGGTGGACACCAGAAATGGGCTTCACACATTGTACCCATGTCGGGAATCGAACCCGGTTCTTCGGCGTGCCGTGACAGGTGAACGCTTTAACCACTAGGCTACCCGACCGCCCCGTGGGGAAAGAAGGAAGACGAATCAATGTAGAAAATTGTGTTGACCAATAGAAGTTGGTCTGTTACAAAAAGCAAACAAACAGACACTTTTCATTTCTTCGAGGTTTTCTAATGCAAGTCATATTAAAGGGTCAAGTTTTCAAATACGATGCTCATTTTCTTCAACTGATACCCTGTATAATTTTTTTACAATATCTATTTATGATCTTAGTAATGACATTTCGTAATAAGAAATCTTGGTTTTGTCCCAAGAATAATAATTAATACCTATATATATATAAAAACACAAAAATGAGGTAAATGTTCACTCGGTGTACATGTAAGATATAATAAAATAATAAAGTCCACGTTAGTCCATCATCTTCTTTATATCAGTTTCAGACAAAGTACTTTCGCTGTCTCATATATAAAAAACTAATACTATAATATTACTGTTACTTTATCAACACAGATGTTTAGTGTGTCGGCAGCGCAAAGAATGTATTAATACATGTATATAATCGCAAAAAAGGTGTAGGTCTTGTTCAGTTAACAAATTTGTCACTGTTAATACAATGTTTTAAACAAACTGACAAGAGTAGACATGCGAGTGAAAAGTTAAACAAACAAACATAAAAACATATGAACACAGCTTCAAATGTTGCCGAGGTTCGTTTGTTGCAGGTGGAAAAGTATGTGACTTCAAATATAAACCGAAGCTCGTGTTTACCACAGAATAGACCCCCTGGTACCGATCCGTCTGGACACGTCACTTCCTGTTCCGCTACTACGTGGGGGGTGTCTTCTCCTGCGCCTAGTTTGAACGCAGAATATTTCCTTCTCCTTATTTCCCAGTTGGATTTGTCCAGGTCATGCCAGGCAGACAGCAACTTGCCGACCTCGCCTTTAACTGTCAATTTTAAGGTAATTGTCATTGGTTTCATATTTTCAAAGTGTAATTAAAACCTCACTTTCATTCATTTAAAAATACCTTGGTTTCCAACATTAAAGAAAGAAGGTTTTATAGTGCAAATACACTACATTTACACAGTCACTATGTTTTCATCAATCAAATTATATGCAACTCACTGCCACAGTTTTACGTGTGAAATGGCAAACGTCCAATACATTATTACACAAATATTTGTTTCTTTATTTGTATGACAATTAGTATAATATTCTTTAAATAATGTATACATAAGTATAACTTATCCATTTATCGAGTAAAGGTAGAAATATCTTTAAGAATTCATAATAAATGTTTTGAGTTACATGTGTTTGAAATAAATGGATGTTAGGCAATGAAAATTGAAGTCTTTGTTTTTCACATTTTTTTAATTCTTTTCCAATTTGCATATTAACATCACAAGTTGGTAAGGTCTGACCGTTAATTTACGAATACCTCTTGATCTCATCTAGGCATCTTCTATAAGCAAGAAATGAGTTTGCCGTTTACATTTAATATCATATGTAAAGCGAGATATCAAGAGTGAGTTTCACTAGTTAATGTCAATGTATCCACCAACATCTAACTACCATGCACATCGCCGACACACAAAGTCGCTCTCTGTATTTGCGTCCCGTCGTTATTCCGGACAGAGAGGTTCCGAGTGCCAAATGTTTGTTGATGAAGGAAAGTCGGGTGATAACAAAGGGTCACCGGGCAGCTTGTTGTTATGGTGCCCAACCACTGGTTTGCCACGCAAGTTTAGATATTACCTGGAATATTTCCGACGGGTGGCTCAGTCGTCTAAGGCGCCGGCATTTGCTGTGCAGAGTCTGCCTCCCTTAGGCACGTCAGAAACCTATGATTGTGGGTTTTAATCCCGGTTCGCCCCGATTATGTTTCTAGGTTTGTCAGCACCATACCCGTGCTCGTGGGTTTCACTGAAGTGGTAAACGTCTGAGACCTGCATCACTTCGGGCTTTCCTCTCACATTAAGCTGACACGCCGCGATATAACTGGAATAATGTTAAAAGCGGCGTTAAACCCAACTCACTCACTCACTCTTTGGTGTCTAAATAGGAAGATTGTGAAGTCGTATGAATCGTACCTCGCGCGGCCCTTGACCTGTTAGAGCGTGAGTACAGAAGGACTTCCGACCCCTGAATCTGCATCCCAAGCTCCCTGTCATCAGGGTTACCAGTGTCAGTTTGTTCCTCGGGAGTCGTTGTGACATCGGGGGTGCCAGAAGCATTGGTGCTTTCATCCTGGAGCACTTGCCATGTGTTGAACAATTTGTGGAAACTTGGCACTATAATGTTGATATAACTATTATAGCAGAGGATACACATTTCATTAACATAACAATTAATCTATTACATAAAAACATGCTGTTCTTTTACACCAACCAGTCACCACTAACCTTACGAAAACCGATAACAGTATAGCGCAAAATGACGATTTATCATTAAAGTCATCGATGTTTCGAACGTTGAAATTAACATTCTAAAGAGATTATACACACATAAATGTGTAACACAGAATCTTGTGATGTTTTTGGTATCATTTCTATCCATTGTTATATCCAAATTTACATAGACAAAGGTCCCAGTTTTAGAATCCATTCTCGGTCTGACTTAATAGATTCTTATCTCTTCTCGTTAATAAGTATTTATATATTAATCATCTTGCCTTTTATATTTTAATATGTATTGTTCTGTGGTAAAACACACACACACACACACAGTGTCACACACACACACACACACACACACACACACACACACCTCTCTGGATCTGCTTTTTGACTTGGTCAAATAGCACATTCGTTTCTGCTGATTTACCTAACACAGATATAAAAACTTCCCATCTGTTTCATATTTAGATATATGCATACAGGTTCCGAGTGACAAATACAGGACTGTATGACTTCAACTTTCCACTAGTTAATTTTCCCTTTATGTCGACCAATATTCCATGGTATCATTACTATTGGATAGTGATTCATGAACACATTCTTTTGATAGAGATGCAATCGTACAATGGATTTCGTGTAATACCATGGAAAGGGTTTTATCACGTCATACACTCTCTAGACACATTTGCTCATTACTACAAGTGTGTCTCCTGAAAGTACCTGTCCTACAGACATCCGACTCCAGTTATTCAATGACACCAAATACATCCCTTGACAACATGTTATAGGCACATGGAAGGTTGAGTTCTTACTATCATCATTCTGAAGAACATCCGACAGATTGAGAGACGCGGGTTGAACGTCAGAGAGCAGGTTCAGTTGTCCAAACCTCTCCCCACCATACTTCTTACAAACAACCGTGTTTCCATCACAAGCCTGAATCTTCACGTCGTGTCTGCACCGCTTGTTCTTCACACAGTCAAACCTGGAGCCGACATCCAGGAGATGGTCCCTAGCGGCTTGGATACTCACTTCCGCCTGAAGCAGCACTGAATACTTGACCCCGACTGTCCAGGGAGTCTGAGGAACTAACAGTGGGAGATAACAGTGAGTGAATGGGTGAAAGAATGATCTGTCTTTTTGCACATTATTTCAGTTATATACCGTGTGTCCACTTACCGTGGAAAACAGCCGGAATATGTTTATCACTGTGAACGCCACCAGGGCATGGTGCTGACAAACCATAAATCATAATCAGGGCGAATCCGGCATTCGAACCCACAATCAGTGGAGCGTGGCTTCTCTTAAGGATGCAATAATGCACAGAACGGCGCTTTGAACTAGACCACCTACATTTTGAAGCAAATTATTAATTAATACACTGACACATCAAATCTTATTCCTGCTTTGCATGTATGTAAATACTTAAAAGTATTTGTTATGGTCTTGCTGAGGGGCGGTCGGGTAGCCTGGTGGTTTAAGCGTTCGCTCGTCACGCCGAAGACCCGGGTTCGATTTCCGACATGGGTACAATGTGTGAAGCCCATTTCTGGTGCCCCCGCCGTGATATTGCTGGAATATTGTTAAAAGCGGCGTAAAACATAACCCACTCCCTCACTCACTATGGTCTTGCTATCCCTTAATTCAGTTCACACTTTGTATTTCATGAGTTTTTTGCAAGAATGGAAGTACTGTGAGAAATGTTTCTTCATATCACCACAGTTAGTCTCGAAATTGGGATGCATTCTATGGTCATGTGTTTTTTTTAACCGTCCTATAATTAATGTGTATTGACATTTGTGTAAATATTTATAAAAAAATATATTATGTCTTCAATCTTGTATGGTCATTTCGTAACAGCAAAGGACGTTACTCCTTTCATAATCTTACTAACCCATCCGGAGTGGCGGTGAGGTAGCCTGGTCTGTAAAGCCTAGGCTCAACCCGTCGTTGACCTGGTTCGATTCTGTACATAAGTACAATGTGGGAAGTCCATTTTTGTGTTCCCCCGACTTGATATGGCCGCATCAGTATATACCTCTACTCACTCACAAAAATCCGGAGCTCTGACTTGACAGCACTAATTTTACCACCCCACACAAGTCCGGTCTAGACGGATTGCACTCTACAGCAATTGGTTACAAGATGTAGCTTTTTTACCTGTGCACGACTGAGTGAGCCTATCGGGTTCCCATTCCCCGAGGCTGCAGGTGTAGTTGACAGGCTCCTCCGAGAACACCAGTCCTCTGTTGCAATGGATGCTGCAGGTGATGTTGTCACCGTGCGCCGTGCAGGACGACGACACCCCTTGGCCAAGTTGCAGATCGACCTCTCGGCAGTCTTTAAATAAAATACATTTATTATGTGTTTGGAGATGAAATACTATATATATCTCAAAAATATAAAAATCGATATTTCATTAGAATGAAACATTTTCTGTCGAAAATACTTTCAGTCTGCCTCTTTAGGACGATGGTCACAACATGTATAATGAAAAAGAATATTTGTCTTTTCTTGTGAAGTAACAAGTTTATATTGTCGAAGACCTGGAAATCCTTTTCACTCTTAGTTGCGGTACCCATACATATGAAACTGTGACGCGGTAGCTTACACGTTATTTTACAAGACATTTGGTTATTAAAAGTTCCAATTGTTCAATTTATCGCGTAAAATCTACAGGTAGCACAGCCCTACATTGGACACACAGTACGTTTAACTCCGTTCTAGCACGACATAGCTGCAACAATGCAGATCAGGCTAAAAGCAAAAATTACTCACTAACTATACCCGTACTATCACAATATTTAACGCTAACCGTGTTGGAATCCTGGATTTCAGTAGTGGGTCGGTTCGATTTACGAAAATGCTGATAATAGACAAAAGAAATATGCCGCCAAGACCCCTAAATAATAATTATTCACCTGTTCATTGTTCAAGTATGTACACCCGCATCGTGCCAAGACCCTCAAATAAACAAAGATGCTTACTTCAGTTGCCGACATAATCACCTGGGCATGCTTCAAGTTGGCACACTTTGCTTTGTGTGCTCTTCCCTTCACACGGGATCCCGGCATCCTCAGAGATGCAGAACCGCCGCCGGACTCTGAAGCCAGCACCACAGGTCTTGGAACACTCGCCCCAATCACTCCATTCAGCCCACTCCGGGTCAACTACAACAATGGTTGGTTGGTTGGTTGGTTGGTTTGTTGTTTTACGCCGCACTCAGCAATATTCCAGCTATATGACGGCTGTCTGTAAATAATCGAATCTGGACCAGACAATCCAGTGATTGATATCATGAATATCGATCCACGCAATTGGGATCGATGACATGTATCAACCAAATCAGCGGGCCTGACCACCCGATCCCGTTAGTCGCCTCTTACGACAAGCATAGTCGCCTTTTACCCCGGATCTTCACGAGAGACTACAACATTGCACATGGTGAATCAGTAAAAGTGATACACGTCAATCAGTAAACCACATCATAGATGATACTCGTGGACAAATGATTTGTTTGTTTGTTGTTTAACGCCGCACTCAGCAATATTCCAGCTCTTGGACAAATGAAGAAATGGAAGTAGGTAGTAGGGTTTTAAACTGCTTCTAGGAATACGATAGTATTTCCACAGCAGGGGATACTGAAACTATGTCTTCTTTCTGACGGGCGAACCTAAGTATTCAATGGTGACACGAGTACATGTTTACAGCGGCATGCTTATAACATGAATCACGAACCATTTCTCCTTTCCTGACTTTCAAATTCAAGAACTTCACTACTGGTCTTTTGGACAATTTACATAAAAAAGGGCAACTGTGCCTTGGAAAATATGGAACCGGAACCGAAAGTAGCATGTAAAAATTAGGTTTGGGTAATTTTTAAGGGTAGTGGGTGTGAAACAAAAAATAATTAGGCGTGTTTATCGATAAAATAAAATGATCACGGATACTGTTCATTTGAGACTATTTTATAACTGACTTGTTCTTTCTTGACACAGCATGCCAGTGACATTAGCAGGGCAAACACAGCTGTAACCGCCTGTCTGATCTGAGAAGCACGTGGACCCCGAGCTGCACTGGTTGTCTAAGCAGAAATCTGGAGCTTGCTGGCATCGGTCACCAGAGTAGCCGCCTTTACATACACACCGGAAGCTGTCAGTGGTGGGGACACACATATGGTCGCCACATGGGTTTTCTTTGCAGGAATCATTTTCTGTAACAATGACGTGAAAACGTAAAACGTACAACTTACAGTAATATATAGAGAGTTTGGCAGCTGAAAATGGAAATAAATAAGAGATCGCATATTTCTACAATGTTATAGAGGATCACCCATATGAAATATAGCTATTCTTGTTTCTCACGGTTATTCGACGATTATAATGGACAGGTATATGAATAAACATATAAATCTAACATTCAGGGTCTAGAATATGTACCGAAACAGATTCCATAGAACGAAAGAGGCGTAATAGACAAAGTGATGATAAAAAAGATATGAATGATAGTTGAAATTAGTGATGACATAGTTAGTCGCGAAAACGGTACGCATGGCATGTTCTACCGGTATCACCCGCAACTCAAACACTCCACAAACGAAAGTGCTAGTAATTCAGGTGGTTCGAACACGCCATGTGAAGGTCATGGTATGGGATAGCATCGTTCATCATGTTTTCAAGCTAAGTGTCAAATTAAGGAAATTGCTGAAAGCGGCGTAAAACCATACTCACTCACACACTGTATAATGTGTAATCCTAACTTGTTAAATGTAAAATAACGTATGCTATTTTGGTGATCCTATATACCACGTGTGAATCTCTTATGAGGTGTCATATTATAAAGTATGTGTGTAACTGTGTGAACAGTTATGATCATATGTTAATGATAAATAACATTTGTGATCCATGATATATACTGACGGAGACACGTTGAGGGCGTGACCTCGAAGACGCTGTCAAGTCTTGTGAAGTTGAGGCCATGGACAGAAAACAGTGTGGTGTTAAGACTTGCTTCACATGACGTCGACAACAGCCTAACTACAGACATATCAGATGATGGAATCACGTTGAGACTCTGGATCAGTGCGTCTGAAAAACAAGTTGCAGGCTCCGCCGTCAAGGTTCTTTTATGTGACTCAGTCAGTAAAAAGTCCAAGCTACCTTACATGGTGTATGATAAGTAAAACATTTTCGTCATTTAACAGCTCCAATATTTTTAATGTGACGTCACTTTTCAAGTTACTAAATAAACATTAATAATATATTAGAGTATGGTTAGGTTCCTAACGCAGAGTCCAACCCTTATGATGACGATGATGCTGATGCTGATTGGGTAATCCTTTGTGCATGTGCATGTGCATGTGCATGAACCAAATGTACATTCAGATTACAAGCCCAGTTTCTCACACAAGATATATGACACTTACAGACATCCTTTTCCAGTGTGATGATCAGACTTGCTCCTCTTGTAAGTGGACATTCCAAAGACAGATGTTTTTGATGCCACACTTGGCGGCCATCTTGAAATACGTACACTGAGTTCTTGTCCCACGAAAGTGCCACGTGACTCCAAGTTTGATTTAAGCCTTCTTCGATATGGATAACGTCACTAGAGGAAAAAAAGAACAAGAATGCCATACATAAGCAACACTCTCCGTCATCAGATCTTCCTCAATTATCCAGTTATTATATATCCATTCTATCATGGTAAATGCCGTGGACCCCTTCACTAAATGGTTTGTGAAATAACATAACGCTAAAAAACATCCGTCCAGACTAATTACACTAATGAGGGAGAGAAATCACGTGCTATGTTAGAGAATGATAGATTAAGGTGGTGGCGTCAATTCAGAGACGAGGCTTCATTCGATGGGGATGTTCATGTTCATAGAATGAAGATAAACTACCCTGGATAATCGGAGATGACATCCGACATATGTTAATTGTTTCAGTGCAAGTAGCACGTGTCCTTTAATGTAAGATTTAGGACACCACAAACACATGAATGTTTCGATTGACTTGCGCAGATATAAAGTGCGCAGATAGCGGTCCTCCTGTGGGGTGGTCACATGTGGTCTACTGCTTCGTGACCTGTCCCTTGTGTGCCGAGTCTGCTGGTATTGCGGAAGTAGTGGAGCAATTGCCAGATGGCTGTGCTTCTGGGTATCATTGAACATTCGATTCCCGGAGCCCCCGAGGATCAGGGTTAGAGTGAGTGAATTGGGTTTAACGCCGCTTTTAACAGTATTCCAGTCATATCACGGCGAGTCAGCTTGAGGTAGAGGAAAGCCCGAAGTGATGCAGGTCTCACATTTACCACTTCGGTGAAACCCTCGAGCACGGGTATGGTGCTGACAAACCTAGAAACATAATCGGGGCGAACCGGGATTCGAACCCACAATCATAGGTTTCTGGCGTATCCAAGGGACGCAACTCTGCACAGCGAATCGCGGCGTCTTAGACGATTGGGCCACCCGTGCCCCCGATCAGGGTTAGAATTGGTCTTTAGCAACACATGCTTGTCGTGTGAGGCTATTAACGGGATCGGTTGGTCAGGATAGCTAACTTGATTGATTGATTGATTGACGTCATCGTATCCCTCTAGCGTAGATCGATACCTATGATGTCAATAACTGGACTGTCTGGTCCAGACTCGATTATTTACAGACCACCGTCACATAGCTGGAGTGCGGCTTTAAACAACAAACAAACAATCGATGTCCGGAAATTTTTACTCGGTTCCAAATGAAATTTCTGTATATCCAAAAGGCAGCATGTTTTTTCTCCTAATTAAATGGTTATCATTATGTTTCAATAATTAATCTAGAAACAACAGATACATTTGATCACCCTAATGAATCACCCTAATGTTGACAAATGTAAAAATATATTTTCAATGAGTAAATGGCAGTAACAGTTAACTTTGCTTAATGGGACGAATGTAAAAATGTACTACAATTTACTTGCTCGAGAAACCTATTTCTTTTAGTGTGGCAAGAAGCCCATCCTTGATGTCCCTGTCATGATACAGTCGTAATGCTAAAAAGACCATAATACCCACCTCACTCATTTAAAATGACCCGCAAATACGAAAACAGAATGAACAAATTATATCATAATAAGTCTGATACCTTGCAACTGATACGTCGATGGAAGAGGTTAGGTTTATGGAAACCTGCGTTCCATGCTGAGGGTGGTGTACTTCAAAGGTCAGTCCATTCTTCCCCGAGTAAAAAACCTTTACCCACACACTGAAGGTAAACTCGCAGACGGCCTCCTGATAAGAAGACGGCATGGCAACTGTGACGGGGCCCTGGAGCAAGATGTCTGAAGCTGTGAATTAAAAAAATGATAGCATAGGAAATCTGAAGACATATTGGAATGGATCGAGAAAAGCCTTTGTAACAAAATAAAATGCTTTCTTTTACGAATGTAACAGAACCCAATGACTTCCGAAGAGTAATTGAGTTTGGTTTAACATAGTTTTGAATAGTATTTCAGTTGTATCACGGCATGTCGATCCTGGAGGAACGCCTAAATTGATGCTGGCTCTTGCCGTTAAACACTTTGGTGAAACCCACAAGCACCGGTGCTGGCAAACCAAAATCATCACGGCTAAACGGGGATTCGAACCAACGGTCATAGGTTTCTAGTACGAGTAAGAGACACAACTCTGTACGGCGTGTTTGTGGGGACTGGGCCACCCAGACAGAGGTCATTTAAGGCTCATTAACGACAAGACGTGTCCGATTATGAACGTATTATGGGAACAACCTTCGTTTAAGAAGATTGTATAAACTAAGTTAAAACACATTTTACCGGACTTAACGAAATAACGTTCTTGTCTTGGGCCAAAAGAAGGTTAATAATTTGGTCAGTTGATGCTGTGTTCAAACTATAACCAATATAACTGTGATGAAGCTGAAAATTTGGATATTAATGGTTGAAATATAATTGTTCATACAAAGTCACCGCAAAGATGGCTATTTTGACATATTGCTTACGGGATATGCACAATAATGTTTTCTTTACTGAAGTAATGCAATACACTCCCGTTAATGCATTAATGTTTTAATGACATATTTCATAACCATCACACGACACCATCGGCAAGTCAAGAACACCACTTACGGATGCACTCCAGCAGAAACTGTGCAGCATTTCCCTGTGTCCTCATCCCCGGAGGACAGGCCAGGCAGGACGCACCCCCTTCGTGTGGCTGGTATGTGCCAGGGGGACATGTGGAACAGGGGGACAAACCCGTGCGTGAATAATAGCCAGGGCGACAGAGCTCTAGATACAGCAATCGAAAATCAAAACTTGTACATACTAGTACGTAGTTAAACACAACAATAATCATTCAAAGGCACAAGGTACAGAGGCAACAATTATAAAAACGACATCTCCAATGTGATATTAAATATCCTTTATCTTTGGAACAAATCTCTAGATGAATTCGTGAATCAAAATAAGAGGTATCTAATCTATCAGACTACCTCAAATTTCAAAACGCACCAGGTTAATCACCTTATTTGACATTCCTAAACTGGAATCTATATTACATGTGCTGGAGTATATTTTGCAACTGAGGTTCCTCGGTAAGAGATGAACACCTATTCGCGAACACCTGGTGTCATCACTGATTTTCAGTGATCCATTCAATTTGCCTTTACGCCTAATGGAATCTGTTTCGTCGGGTAATGGAGACTGGTGATTCTCTGGCGTTTTATAATTACAGATGTGTTGGTGTCATTGAAACTTTGTTCGGAAATTTTATTTCGAACCCACGGCACCATTTCCGGGTATCAAACACTCAATAACACACGCAAATCTAAAAACACATGATGTAACCAACGCTAATCGTAAGATTGGTTCCGGTTGTCAGCCTCTGTGCATTTGGTCTCATCGCATTTCGACGATGAGCAACGTTGCCAATATTAACAACATCTTGTCTAATCCATAATTGCTCATTTATTTGGGACTATTTGCGGACTGCGGGGTTGGCAACATTGACCCACTCACTCACCAACACACTCAGTTACGTTGTTCCTCCCGTCTTTCAAGGTAGTATGGCCACTCTGACAGGAGACACAGGCAACAGAGCCTGGTCTATCCTGGTACGATCCTTTCTGACAAGGTTCGCAAAGCTTACTAGAATTGTAGAAGGTCCCCTGAGGGCATGCAACTGCAAGTACAAACAAAACGGGAAGAATTACAGAAACTAGATTGGCATGAACACGTTAGTGATGCCGCTGATCAATGGTCAAAGTATTTTAGTTATACGATGGGTACTTAAAAGCCTATTTGATTTAATCTTTCCAAATGAAAAATGAAGGGGGTTTGTGTACATTCTATCGCGCGAGGCGTGCTTTTCATATAGCGCCAAATTTCCACTTTACAACAGTAACAGAGAGAAAGCAATCACTATGTTTAGCACAAAAGTATGATAGAAATGAATAGAATAGAATAAGAAATTACAGTATTTCAGTTATATCCCAGCGTTTCAGCCCTAATGGGTGAAAGAGAATACAGTGGCGCAGGTCGTAAAATGTGTTTCACTTTGATGGACCCCGCGAGCAGGGACATGGTGTTAACAAACGAAGGATTACATTCGGTGTGAATCTGATATTCAAACACATCACTGGATCCTGACGCGGAAAGGGGCCTTGCTCTTAGCAGCCAATATATTGCGTCACATTGCCACTTCGGGATAGTCATTGAAATACGTACCACAGGCATTTTTGGACTTGCGGGCTCTCATATAACCTTCATGGCATACCGGCGTGGGTGTCCTCCTCCTCACCGACACTGGACACACCTTCTGACCTGCGACTGTGAATGTCCCCTTTTTCTTGATGGCCTTTATAATCTTCACCAACTTCGCTATAGTCCTTACCGCGACCTGTTCAGCTGATGCCAACGGTGTCTCCTCAGACATCACTTTGATCTCAAATACGATGAAATTGATGGACGCTCCACGACGAACTCTTCCGAACTTTCCTTCTATATCTCGTCTCTTTCTCGAGCTACCACACGTGACTTTCACATTCTCAACTGTACAGTGCCGTCCGCTGCACAGATTATTGTTCTTCAACATAATGATGAAGTTCGTCTTTACCTCCTCTTCAGCATCTTTGCATGGACCGTTAAAGATGTAGGCAGCGGGTAGCGTCTGTCCCCATCCTGGTACTGTTGCTGTAAGCAGTGATGAAAGAAAGCTGTAAACAATGTGCCAGTTATATTAATGTCTCAAAAGAATTAAGTTTTCTGCATTAAAATCACTTTCCCACCGGGTCACCTCAAAAGTAAGATTGTGCTCAGATGTATTTTATTGTACCTGATTGTTTTGATTGTGAAGCCTGGGGTTGTCTGTGTATGCTGTCTGTTTTTAAAGAAATCAAAGATTTGTGAACTGTTAGTTGAAAATGACTTATTTTAAGGCTTGGATAGGTTGGAACTTTTTGGAGGTTTCTTTTTTTATTGTACTAGCCTTATGGTGATGCGATGAGATAGCTTACTGGTTAAAGCGTTCGCTCGTCACGCAGATGACTCGGGTTCACATGGATACAACGTGAGTAGCTCACTTTTGGTTTACTCCGCCGTGATGTTGCTGAAGTATTCAATCTGCTAAAAGCCGTGTACAACCATACTCTCTCACTCCCAAATGATTTACGACCCGTGATCCGGGGTAAAATAGGTCTTCAGCAACCCATGCCTGTCGTTAAAAGCGACTATGCTTGTCGGAAAAGGCGACTAACAGGATCGGGTGGTCAGGCTCGCTGACCTGGTTGATGCATGTCATCGTATCCCTTTGCGTGGATCGATGCTCATGATGTCAATCACTGGATTGTCTGGTCCAGACTCGATTATTTACAGACCGCCGACATATAGCTGGAATAATGCTGAGTGCGGCGTTAAACAACCAACCAACCAACCCAAATGACTTACGTTCACACCCAGGCACGTTGTCTGAGGTCCACTTCCCACTGCTGATCGGGCAGATGTAATACTTCTCAAATTCCCCAGGGACGTCATAGCCTTTCTGGCAGAGGACAGAACACATCTGACCTCCCAACCACTTGTCACAAGCCACGGCTCCGTGTGCAGGTGCACTCAGTGGAGGACATTTGGGCACTGATATTGAAATGATAGAACAAGTCGAAGTATTACAATATGGAGAGAAAGACAAGGAGGAATTTCTAGTAACAGTGTTATATTTGTAATAATGATTTAAAAAAGGCATTAGGAGTTTTATAAAACGATATCTTCTACGGGTGCCAACTGTCTCAAATGCCGAACTTGTATAACTGTCGACACATAGAGATGTCAATCGTTTTCGGATTGTTTTTTACATACGAATGGTCAGTGGTCAAACATGTTTTTTCAGGTCCCCTTTATCAGAATTGTCGTTCGGATGAAATGAAAGAAAACGAAACAAATATACTACCCATCAAAAGTTTAGACTCACCAGTGTAAATGTAGCCACTCACTATACTCAACTGTTTCAAACCAGATAATGCCAAATATTCTAAACTTTTTACAGGTACTGTTAGCACATGAACTGTTGTGGCGTAAAACCAAATCTGTGTCGGTGAAAAGATTAGAGTTTTTCGTTCATTAATTGATAAAACTCTGTGAAATGTCGCACATTTTTAAACAAAATTCGCACCAAAACGCAGGTGTTCACATGCACGATAATGCACGTGTTTTAGCAGCAATTTGACGCGGGATACTCGTGCAATTTATCTTTATAAGGATTGCAGTTGGCTCTTCTGAGTTAGTGGAGAAATTCTTCTTTGATGCAAGCATGGGTAGAGGGAGAAGTCTCCGTATTGAGCAACGACATCAAGCCTTGGCACTGCTACAAGATGGCAGATCACAACGGTTTGTTGCCAGACGTCTTGGCGTATCCCAACAGACCAACTCCGTCCAGGATCGACCCAGGTCGGGTAGGTCAAGGGTAACATCACAGCAAGATGACCGATGCGTCTTTTTGCTGTTTCTCAGGGGCAGACACATTACAGCCACAGCAGCCAATAATGCTTTCCAACAAGCTACAGGACGACGTGTATCTGTATCAACAATACGCCGCCGATTACGTCACTACGGACTGCGGGCACGTCGTCTAGCTGTAAGACCCCCTCTTACACCACGCCACCGTCAGAACAGACTGAATTGGGGAAATGGACATTTACGCTGGGGTCCCCGCAGATGGGCAAGGGTACTCTTCTCCGACGAATCAAGGTTCAATCTGCATTTCAACGATGGTCGGATCCCAGTCTACAGACGTCAGGGAGAGCGGTACGCTGACGTTGCTGTTGTGGAGCATGATCGATTTGGAGGTGGATCCGTTATCGTCTGGGGAGGTATCACCCTGACTGGAAGAACTGATTTACTGGTACAGGATGGAAATCTGACTGGCCAGAGATACAGGGACGAGATCATCATTCCTATTGTGCTTCCATTCTTAAGGGCCATGCCAGGTCACGCGGTTTTCAAAGATGATAATGCCAGGCCTCACAGAGCTCGCATCGTGTCAGCTTGTTTACAACAAAATGGGGTGAATCGAATGGATTAGCGAGCATTATCGCCCGATATGAACCCCACTGAGCATGTTTGGGATCTGCTGGGACGGCGTGTTTATGCCAGAGTTCCTCCCCCTGCTAACCTTCGCCAACTTCGCAATGCATTGTTTGAGGAGTGGCAAACATTCCCCAGCGGCAGATTGAACTGTTCTTTCGTGGTATGCAACGTCGATGCAATGTCTGTGTTAGAGCCAGGGGTGGTCATACCCGTTATTAAATTTTGCAATTTCACTTTTGTATGGTACTAGCCAATACGGCATTCTGGTTCACTAATCATCAATGCACACGTCCTTGTGAACAAGGATATGAAGACCTAAATGAATGATTTTGTTATTTTTTATCGGTAGCTTTCACAAATACGATTTTCTTACGAGATATAGTGAGTGGTTTCAGTGAGTCTAAACTTTTGATGGGTAGTATATATATATATATGCTTTTTAGTCAAAGCATTATTTTTTTGATCATATCTTGACCCATTTTACTTATTATTTTCATTATTGAAATCATCTAGAAGACTCGGCAGAGAACGGGCTGTTTTCGGCATTTATTTTCATGTTATTCCGCAATTGTGAAATTAAGGTTTGCAAATCCCTAAACTAAATCGCTAAAAATATTTTTGTTTTCTTTTAATTCAAAACATTTACACCAGTTTGACAAGTAATATATTGGAGTACATATAAATCAGGTCAAGGACATATAATTACAACGACAACATTTACTCCGTTGTCTCTCTTGTCTTGGTAGTACCTTCACAATATGGCTTGGTCCTTGGTGGCGTGTTTTTCTGTCCCCAGTCCCAGAAAGTCCCACTTTTCCCCGTTGATGATGACGTGCATGTGATGTAGCTGCTTCCCTTTAGGGGGATGTCCATGCCGCACTCCAGCTTACACTTCTTACCTTCAACAAACGGTGGAACACAACCAGGCAGCTTCATATGTTCATCCTCTAGTGGTGGAGGCTCACACTCAACACCTGCAAAATCACAAGGGTATTTGACCTCGCTTGTAATACTATTTCAGTTATATCAGTTGTATTCAGCACATTAACAAGACCAGCACTACGATCTACATCATCGTAATCCTGTGTGTGTGTGCCTGTGTGTGTGAGGGTAAAACGGTAAATTGAGGTGACCAAGGCTTCATTCCGAAAAATGCACGTTTTATATATATATATATAAATGCATATGTGAGGGTAAAACAGTAAATTGAGGTGACCAAGGCTTCATTCCGAAAAATGCACGTTTTATATATATATATATAAATGCATATGTGAGGGTAAAACGGTAAATTGAGGTGACCAAGGCTTCATTCCGAAAAATGCACGTTTTATATATATATATATAAATGCATATGTGAGGGTAAAACGGTAAATTGAGGTGACCAAGGCTTCATTCCGAAAAATGCACGTTTTATATATATATATATATAAATGCATATGTGAGGGTAAAACGGTAAATTGAGGTGACCAAGGCTTCATTCCGAAAAATGCACGTTTTATATATATATATATATATATATATATATATAAATGCATATGTGAGGGTAAAACGGTAAATTGAGGTGACCAAGGCTTCATTCCGAAAAATGCACGTTTTATATATATATATATAAATGCATATGTGAGGGTAAAACGGTAAATTGAGGTGACCAAGGCTTCATTCCGAAAAATGCACGTTTTATATATATATATATAAATGCATATGTGAGGGTAAAACGGTAAATTGAGGTGACCAAGGCTTCATTCCGAAAAATGCACGTTTTATATATATATATATATATATATAAATGCATATGTGAGGGTAAAACGGTAAATTGAGGTGACCAAGGCTTCATTCCGAAAAATGCACGTTTTATATATATATATATAAATGCATATGTGAGGGTAAAACGGTAAATTGAGGTGACCAAGGCTTCATTCCGAAAAATGCACGTTTTATATATATATATATATAAATGCATATGTGAGGGTAAAACGGTAAATTGAGGTGACCAAGGCTTCATTCCGAAAAATGCACGTTTTATATATATATATATAAATGCATATGTGAGGGTAAAACGGTAAATTGAGGTGACCAAGGCTTCATTCCGAAAAATGCACGTTTTATATATATATATATAAATGCATATGTGAGGGTAAAACGGTAAATTGAGGTGACCAAGGCTTCATTCCGAAAAATGCACGTTTTATATATATATATATAAATGCATATGTGAGGGTAAAACGGTAAATTGAGGTGACCAAGGCTTCATTCCGAAAAATGCACGTTTTATATATATATATATAAATGCATATGTGAGGGTAAAACGGTAAATTGAGGTGACCAAGGCTTCATTCCGAAAAATGCACGTTTTATATATATATATATAAATGCATATGTGAGGGTAAAACGGTAAATTGAGGTGACCAAGGCTTCATTCCGAAAAATGCACGTTTTATATATATATATATAAATGCATATGTGAGGGTACAACGGTTTATCGAATGTACTCAGTACTATCGCACATTTAACAGATCTGTTGGGCCCGTGAAGATCCGGGGTAGAATAGGTCTTCAGCAACCCATGCTTGCCGTAAAAGGCGACTATGTTTGTCTTAAGAGGCGACTCACGGGATCGGGTCGTCTGACTTTGTTGATGTATGTCATCGTTCCAAATTGCGTGGATCGATGCTCATGTTGTCAATCACTGGATTGTCTGGTCCAGACTCGATTATGTACAGACCGCCGTCATATAGCTGGAATACCAACCTACAGATCTGTTGTCATTCTTGGTATTGCCAACTAGTTTTAGTAGTATATAAAAGAAACATTTGCTGAGTGGTAATGTATCGTGTACGAAGAACACCGTAATTTACATCCCAACTTACGTTCTACTTTGACTACAAAGCTGCAAGGTTCAGCCTCGTTTCCTTCCCAATCCCCGACTTGTAACTTGACGATATGCGTCCCTACACCAAACTTTCCCCCGATGACGGTCACGCCAGAGGATGCTCGTATACTCCTGATGTTGTTAGAGTTGTCGGTGACGATGAGTCTGGGCCACAGCACTGAGGTGAGGTTGGTGTCTGGACTGGCTGACTGGTGAATGGTCTGGGTGGGGCAGTTGGTGAACACGGGTGGTTCTGTATCTGTTAATGACATATTTGAATCGATTTGATACTCATAAGGCGCAAATAGCGGAGGAATTGATAATGATTATAATGATGTGGACGTAATAGCTTCATAGACTGAAAATCAATTTTAATTTATAAAATACAAATGTTTCGAATGGCTTTCTGCAACACCACGCTTTTGCACTATATTTCATAAGAAAAATGAGTCATAAGCTTGTGGAAAAACACAATATGATCAATGTGAATTTAGATCAAAAGTACTTATATCTTTGAATGTGAATTTGATGATAATAAGATGACTAAGCGTACTGAAAAAAATAGTTCGAACAAAAGACAGAACTATCTTAAGCTGTCAGTCAATCCTTACACTAATCGGGTAATTGGAACAGTGTTGACGAAAATAATCATATTCATGTATCTATTAGGTCTAGTGTGCCATGGTGATCTGCCACATAGATTCGACTTCAAATTCCAAATTACAGCTACGGACAGATGGATTTAATTGACACATTATTTAATATCAAGAAGTCATTACAACCACTATAATATCTAAACATAGAGCAATGTGACTGACTACTCCGTACCATTAGAGATACGTATTGGAGGGTTCAAATCGTTCTATAAAACTGCATTGTGTTGTGAGCCATACACCAACATAACATTCTGGGCCCCGTTCCACAAAGCGATCTTAGCACTAAGGTGATCGTAAGTCCCATACTTTAACATAGGTTTACGATCATCGTAGCGCTAAGATCGCTTTGAGGAACCGGGCCCTGGCTTTTAACCTGTAGTTCTTTTACCCCCGGGAGGCTTAGCGTTACCATATATAGCTCCATTTCCCCCCATTTTTACCGAGTGTATATGTTTCTGTCACTCACGGACAATTTAGATGATTAAGGTATGTGTTTTTATATCGGCGCAATTTTATCTTACGGTATCTCAACGGTATCTCACAAGTTGTAATATTCTTGCAAAAGTGATCAAGACATTAATATTTTACAATCGGAAAAACTTGGACTGGGAAAATCCTAACCCAATGATCACGATTTGGTTGACATACCTTTACATTGGAAGTTCGTCACTGTCCACTGCCCTGTGTACGTGCAGCGACTCATGTGGCCTTTGGACGCTGACCAGCCGTTCTCAGTGTCACATTGCAATAAACACACGCTTCCGAAACTGTGGCCCTTGTCACACTTAAAGGGAAGGGCGTGTGGTGGCGGGATTAGACTGCTACACTCATGGGCTGGAAATAATAACGGCATAAGCTGTTATAGATGCTATCGTTATCTTTCAATAAGGATGTAATCTCTAGCTGTCCCCTTACGTAGACCGCCTCCGTGGTCTAATGGTAGAGCGTCCGCCCGGAGAGCGGAAGGTCCGGGGTTCGATCCCCAGCCGCGTCATACCAAAAGACGTTAAAAGATGGTACTTTTTGTTACTCTGTCTGGCGTTCGGCATTAAGGGGCTAAAACAAGGACTGGTCGGCTCGGAGTCAGTATACTGTGTCTGAGTGGGGTATTCATGTAAAACTGCGGCATGGCATCTCAGTTTGCTAGCACTATAAATCGGCATCAGTCCGGACTAGTACAAGCAGCCACGCACACACACATACACGTGCATGCACGTCGCTATATAAGTGCAATAATCTTGGACGCGACGTTAAACCCAATCTCACCTCACCTCACTTCCCCTTACGTGTATATTAAATCATGTTTTAAATCTACTTCAACGGGAACAACTTGAAAGCACACACAATGGAGCAATAAATGCGTTGTGTCAAACATTGTCACCAAAGGCAGTGTTTAGATTTACCTTCACATTTTGGAGTAGGACCACTCCAGAACTTGGATTGCAGACACGTGACCCGTGGTGTGCCAAACATCGAGTAGCCTTTTTGGCAGCTGAATGTACATACGTTGCCATACTTGTTGCCTTCACAATTCATGCGGCCATTGGCTGGATTTTGAAGCACTGGACATCTCAGAACTGCAGATATACCGGTTAACTTACACTTGACACAAATATATCACAGTAACCAATTGCCAAATTCATTTGTTTGTTGTTTAACGCCGCAATGAACAGTATTACAGCTTTATGACGACAGTCTGTGAATAATCGAGTCTGGGTCAGACAATCCACTGATTGACACCATGAGCATCGCAACTGGGATACGATGACATGTATCAACCACGTCACCGAGCCTGACAAGTCGGTCCGTTAGTGACCTCTGACGACAACCACGGGTTGACGACGACCAATTCAAATCCGGATCTTCAAACAGCAATTGAACATAGCATGTTTCTGAGTAAAACGCGTGGTTTAACTTTTATCGTTTGCTGAAAATGACCAGCAGACAGCATGTTAGTGCCCGTCCGAAGTACAGTTTAAAGTAAACAGCTTGAAGTGAGACATAAAAAGTCACTGGATTATCTGGTCCAGAATCGAATATTTAAAATTCAGTCGTCATATGGCGTTGAGTTAAACAATCATGACAAAAGTATATGACCAAAGCGAAACCCTTCAGTATACATGTATGTACGGTGGTTAGTTATGCACGATGATAATATGGGATGTTGCAATCAATTGCAATGCAACATCCTTAATTCGTTTCAAACACCGGTGACATCAATCCATTGACTGCATATAACATTCCATGTTTTGTTCAGAAATCTCCTTCTCCTTTCTTCAGGTTACGGGACCTGCAATACCTTTAACGTTGAACTTCATCTGACAATTTCTTTTGATGTTGTAGTGATCTCTCATGTTGTACACTATTCTGTGTGTCCCTTCATCGAAACGGCTGCCGGATCCTTTAGAGGTAATCAGCTCAACCCTGCAATATAATGAGGTACCCATGGATATATCTACTGTAATACACAGTATCTTTAAACGGCATCGTGTAGTGTCGACAAAGACAGGACGAAAAGTAACATTAAAACAATACAAGGAGTTGAAATCCGTGTCAACAGTGGCTACGGTTGCAGCGGTAGCAGTGATAGTGGTTGTTAATGATTAAATTCATGTATATCAATCCTTACCTATATATCAGCCTCGTTCTTTAGCGTGTCAGATGTCACATGTACTATTATTGCCTCGCGGTAAAACATACAGGTGCACACATTTCTTATATTTGCACTGTATACACATACCACTTGTCACATAACCTAGGCTATGTATTGGCTGATTGTGAACCCTGTACCTTACGGAACGCTTCATTCATTTCGATCACAAAAACTCTGTTTTTGTTCACGCCGGAAATTCAACCAAAGGAAAACAAACCAAACAAAGGAAAACAATTAATCGGGTAATTGAGACAATGTTGACGAAATTAAATAATCATATTCATGTATCTATTAGGTCTAATGTGCCATGGTGATCTGCAACATAGATTCGACTTCAAGTTCCAAATTACAGCTACGGACAGATGGATTTAATTGACACATTATTTATTATCAACATGTTACTACAACCACTATAATATCTAAACATACAACAATCTGACTGATTAATCGGTACCATTTGAGATACGTATTGGAGAGTTCAAATTGTTCTTTAAAACTCCATTGTGTTGTGAGGCATAGACCAACATAGCATTATTGCTTTTAACCTGTAGTCATTTGTAGAGGCAACACGATACCATGTTTAGGGGGATGCGCGGTCACAGCTCCAAACAAAGGAAAACAAGCTGAAGTTATTTCAATTTGTACTTTTATTACCAGATGCTGTAACACTTTAGAATAAAAAACCCAATATATTAAAATATCTTAATGTGTTTTAAATGTGCACATATGCAGCTGATTGTCTATTTCGCTGGAAGAGGGTGTGCCGGTTCATATTTTTCAGGAGGACCAAGAATTTGGGATGAGGCTACACCGCAGGACTAGTTACACTCAACTGACATTATACAAATTACAAATAACACTGCAAAATTAGAAACCAAATTTACCCCAAGCTGTTCTGAAGAGCACCGAAGAGTAACACATGCGGTTGGGCATTATTGTTTTTGATACTGCTGTTCTGGCGGTCGCCGTTAATATGCCCTAGATCCGATCTCGCGCTTATATGCATGATCATTTATGCACAATAAACACAGAATGTATGGCCGCACGTTACCTTGGCGATAAACTAGGCCTATATCGCATACTCATTTATACGTGGTCGCTTTTGTCAGCTAGCATAACCGTTTGCCATTTAGCAAGAAAGACGAAAGGTTGGCGGCGTTAGACATTTTACGCTGATGCGTATGCACAGTTGTCTTGTCGCCTACGCACTTGTGCTTAAACAGGGTACCAGTTCATAGGGCTGATTTAACGAAAGATGACGATCCCCTTATTTGTTAGATTAGCGTTTTCTCAGCTGTGATAAGACGTTATTGTATATTCAATCTCATTAAAATCAGATCTTAGTTCTCGCTATCGCTAAACAAAGATCTAAGGACATCCCTTTAGGGTATCGTCAGAACGACCTTCATCCAACCAATCAGAGCATCGCTTACCAGATCATGAAAGTGACAGTCGGAATGTATTTTCTAATCATGCAACCACGAAATATTTAACACGGGGTATTCCGAACGACAGTTACGGGTTTTATGATTATATCCATACAATCTAGGCCACCTATAAAACATTCCAGAATGTTCTTCTTAGCAGTTTTAATTTTTTAAATCGAGAATTCGTCAAAATATGTTTCGAAGCGTAGTCGCCAGTTTGAAACTAGTGTCGTAAAGCTCGAGAAAGCTGCCTTCTGATTGGCTAATGTCGATTTCTTGTCAGTCATTTCATTGGTCGGTCAAAACTTGCGAAAGATCGTTCTGACGTGACCCGTAATTGTTTAGCGGTAGCGAGAACTAAGATCTGATGTTAAGGAGATTGTTGTACATTTAGAACATAATCGTTTTGTCGTTTACCTAAAAATATAAGGGAGACGCTTGTTTACAGCACCATGACATCACTGACGTCCTCTGTGGTTTGGGCATCGAACGTTGTAACCTTGACCTTTTTTCATTTGCTATATAACTGTTAGGTTTTGTTGATATTTCATCAAGTATAAGGTGATAAATCGAATATTACACTCGCTTCAGTTTTGATATCAAGTCCCTCGTTAAACCTGGGGCAAATTGAAACTTATTTCATCTGCGACATAAAATGTATATCACATTGAAGATGAGTGGTATCCTAGAAATCCGTTACTGTAACGTCACCCACGCTCTCACGTACTACAGGCGTGTCCCAAATCATGTGTACCCATCCTTACCCCTCACATGTCCTACGTACTCAGGCGTGTTCCATGCCATATTATCCAATCCTTACCTATAACGTCTTCCATTTACTACATGTGTGTGCTCAATGCCATATTATCCAATCCTTACCCATAACGTCTTCCACGTATTACATGTGAGTGCTCAATGCCATATTATCCAATCCTTACCTATAACGTCTTCCATGTACTACATGTGTGTGCTCAATGCCATATTATCCAATCCTTACCTATAACGTCTTCCACGTATTACATGTGTGCCCTTTGTCATGTTCGTATATCCTTACCTATAACGTCCCCTACATGCGACAATCGTGCCGAATGTTATGTTAACAAACCCTTACCTGTAACGTCTCCCACGTACTACAGGTGTACCCCATGTCACCATGGCGGTGTCTTGACCAGGGTCGGCGATGTAGGTATCTTGTACCCTGGGACATCTGATATGGGGGCGGTTGAACCTCATGTGCCAGTAGTCTTGAACATGAAGATAGTGGGCAATAAGAACTTTTTTAATGTGACTAAGACATACTATCTTTCATTGCATTACCTTCTCAAAACATATTTAGAACATGGTGAATCGCTTTTTGTTCAAACAAAAGGATACTTTATCACTCACGGGCTGCCTAGAGGAAATCATACATTTGTATTGTGTAACGTCATTCTTTTCAAAATGACTTTATACATTTCCGTGAACTGAATTATATTCTCAAAACATATTTAGAATATTGTTTCGTGACATGTCCAAATAAACGCATGACAAGATCCTTGAGGGGCTAGAGGGACCAACACTCAACTGACAATGAATAATTCATTTCAATATGACAAGCATGTTTTCTTTAATTAAGGCACGTTCTCAAAAACGCTCAGAATACTTCAGTCGCGTCAATATGAAAACATTAGTGTCATCATTCACAGAACAGTTTTTGATCGTGTGGTGCCACTAAATGTATTAGATAGTCAGCCTCAGTGACTTAACTGATTGCGTGTCACCGTATCCCCAAGGCGAACATTGCATTGGTTGTTGTTTTTAAAATTGTAGTGGAGTAGCCTATAGCATGTCTGTATCATGATATGAAAATTATATGCACATCCACGTTTGGATAGCTTGGACAGGTTTGGAAAGAATAGGTATTTGTCTAGTGTAAACAGGTGGAGTTACTGACAAATGCTTACGTTTATGTCTCCGGTGACAGCCGTAGCATGCCCATGTTACTGAAAAGACAAATAAAAATTGTGACAGTAAGTACATCAATAAACATCAATTAAGGTTAGTTACTGAAGGCGTGTAATTTTATACACCGTTAGTCCGGACCCCGTCCATCCAAACTATTCGGACGATTACTGTTAGGAGAGTGAAGAATTATTGGACATTACTAGCAACGTACTCGGCGTGGGATTCGTATGCTATTGGCAAATATTTCTTATGAATATGGTCAGGGTTTTATCGCTTTATTTACTTTGGAAATTTCTTGATTTGGGCCATTTCACTGGGAACGGAACCGTTTAAATTACGTGGTGTCTTGAGTGAAATATTTTGTTGTTGTTCAACGCAACACACAGCAACATTCCAGCTGTATGACTATGGCCTGACAAAAATCGAATTTGGAGCAGACAATCCAGTGATCGATATAGTGAGCAGCGATCCACGACCTCGGGGTACGATCACACACAAAATAACCAAGTCACCGAGCAGGACTACCTGATCCGTTTGGTCGCCTCCAACATAAATTAAAACTCGAAATCGCCACGGGGGAGTGAGTGAAATAACGACTTGAGCCATGTCCACGAGCACTATAGTATATATTTTCTGTTTTTATAAAGGTGATTTGGAATCGTGTAACCAGGTAGTTACATGTGAAGGCTTCGCTTGAACCTCGATGCCCATCATTATGTATGGGGGCATATTATTTAAAAAAATCATATCGTCATGAGTCTATTTTCTTTTAAAAGAAACAGAACAGTAACATAATCCACTGCTCCTGTTTGTCTGTGAAATCATGCCATTTACATGCTGCTGTTGGTTGGACCGAAATTCCCTTAGTACGTGTGCACTTTTTAAAAACACAGTGTACACGTGCAACATGCATCACTATTTTCTGCAGAGGCTTACAATCACTGAAGGGTTCCCAAGTTTAACAGAAAACAATTTCAGCGTTATTTTCATGATGTGGGTCACAAGAGAAGATAAAGTTTGACCACTGATTGACCCTGAACACGTTTGATGCAACCGAATGGGTGCAGGACAGAACCCCATGGTCCCCAGTAAGGTGATCTACCTTCAGTTGTTGGAGATCAATAGCCTGTTTTTTTATAATGTATTGTTATGTATCGTAATATCCATGTTATGATTCAATACTGGGTTTTAAATATTTCTCTGGGATAAGTCTAGTTATTTTACTGCCCGTCGTTGGCAGATTGTTTTTTTTATACGTTTCAAAGTATTTATAATCTTTAACCTTGATGGCTGAAATATTGCAGATGTGACTTAAAATTTAACTCACTCACTCACTCACTCACTCACTCACTCACTCACTCACTCACTCACTCACTGCAAGACAGAACCAGCCTAATGAGGTCAGACCGATATGTTGTGGTACTGCCGAATCTGTACATCCGGGTCAATTGCAGGATCGCCTCAGGAAAGCTAAGATCGGTAGGTCCAAGTGGATGAAGGACATAATAGCAGAAGTGTGTCAAGAAGGCGTTTACGTCAAGTTGTGTTAACTCAGCGCATTCTTGCTGAGAGTGTCCTGTGGTGCGATCAACATTAGACTCCAGACATGCTCCAGGCTTTAGCAGAGATGACTCACAATTGTTGGGTAGACATAACGATGAGCGCTTCATCTTAAAATCGATATTATTCTACAGTTAGTGGGCGAGTCCGGTTTAACGTCGTATTGACCAGTTTTTCAGTTACATTCCTGCCTGTCAGTCTTAGTGATGGAGGTCAAACATATAATGTGGGATTCGAACCCCAGTCAATAGGCGTTTGGTACGCAAGTCAAATTGTGACATCTTACACAACTGCCTCATCCATGTACTCTACTATTCTTTAGATTGGTTGGTTTGTTGTTTTACGCCGCCCTCAGCAATATTCCAGCTATATGACGGCGGTCTGTAAATAATCGAATCTGGACCAGACAATCCAGTGATTAATATCATGAGCATCAATCCTTGCAATTTGGATCGATTACATGCATCAACCAAGTCAGCGAGCCTGACCACCCGATTCCGTTAGTCGCCTTTTACAACAAGCATAGTCGCCTTTTACGGCAAGCATGGGTTGCTGAAGACCTATTTTACCCCGGATCCTTATTCTTTTGAATTGAAAGAATGCACTTTATGAAATTTTAAACTAACTGGGGTCGAAACACCTTTGCTTTCTGATGTTTATACTACTCCGAAGGAAGAAAAGCTGGTAAAATTTCCTGATGGTACTTCATCTAACCTCGCTTAATGCCCTCATCTGTTTACAAAACAAAACATCAACTCTAAATCTAACTATTATTTTAGATACATAAATAACCAATTGTAATCGTCTTTCTTTACTTGTATGTTCCCTATATGAACTATTACATATTGTCTACACTGTGAGTTTACTCAGCATTACATATTAAATGTATATTCAGCCAGCAAGATCTTCAGTTAGTCGAGATGGGACCTTCTCATAGAGATACGCTGAACACATATTGAAAAGTCATGTGTCGGCGCCAAATGATAGGCTTTTCATTTAGAAATCGTCATTTCGGTCATGACTTTGTTTTCTAGGGGTCACCTGTAGCGCAGTTGACCAACGTGTTCATAATAGAATTAACGTACTCTGCAGTAACGCAGTGGCATTCCCAAACCTTCTGTCAAGAAACTGTTCCATCGTCCTACCTTGAAAACAAGCCTCAACGTACATCGAGAGTATAGCGATAAACGACGATAATGTCTTCACGCTATCAATTTGTCTTCACACCTTTTGGAACAAACACACGTGACATTAAGCATGCGGACATTCTATATTAATTTTAATCAGTAGTTACCAGAACAAATGCAAAGTAGTTTGTTATCATCATGTTATAGCACTCCAGAGTGTGGTCAATCTCAGAGCACGGGGCGGCTCTACGGTAAATTACCACTTACGATGACCACCGATGTTACCCGATGTCAAATATAATTGTGTGTTCGATTCACGGATGTTTTGCAGTCGCAGACTTTTTCGGAAACAACGAATAATACATCGCTAATCTGAAAACACATTAATGGTATCTAAAAAAATATATATTACCGTTACCAGTGACGTCACAGCTCTCTGTAAATGTGAACGGCAGTTTGAGTCATTACTTACCAAATGCAAGAAACAGGGCGAAACGAAAGAACATTTCCTCAGCTGCCTATATGCAGTCGCTCTCTTTTCGTGTATTGAATTAAATAACAAAATTCTACGTGTAACAAATAACAGCATCACAATAATAACATCTGAAATTACTCAAACTTAGAAATACGTAGCAACCTTCATTATGGCGTTATGGTAATGTTATGTAGCACGAAATGAACCTGTGAAAACATTCTTAATACACATCAGCACGAACTGCGTATTGAAATAATGCAAAGCTCACTGTAATAATGTGCGTCTCCTTCATCAAATTACAATCTGGAAGGTCGTTACAGTCAAAAGTACAACGTCTGAGAAAAATTTATGGAACGTGGTTAACTGAAAAAGATATTAATATATGTTTTATTGCGCGGTCTCGGAAGGTCCTACCAAGGATCACAGCTTAGGTGTAGGCCTTGCTGGAAACACATTGGTGAGATGAAATATAATATAAACTTGCTGTTGCAAACAGCAGAAACGTGAACAGGTTAGCAGGTACTTGTTTCTTATATCTTCCAAATGAAAAAATATCTTCAAAAAATGTTAGATATTGTACGTACTTGGTGTTTAGAATGGCGTATTAGTAGTAATGATGACAAAACCATAATTGTCCATTTTCGGAAGAAATCGGTTATTAGATCTTGCTATCAGTTTTCGTTTGGCAAAACTCAGATTTCATATGATAGCGCTTATCGTTATCCAGGATTGTGTAGAAACAAATATTTAGACATGCACAAGACTGTGAAAGAGCTTTGTAAGTTCGCTTGTAGAGCGTTATGTGCGCTGTACACAAAATATATTTATGCTGGTTGCATGTCATATGATGTTTTTACGAAGTTTTTTAAATCGCTGGTTGAACCAGTTTTGTTTTATGGTGCCAGTATATGGGGTTTACATAGTTTTAAAGAAGTTGAAGTTGTGCAGAATAGAATCTGCCAGAATGTTTCTTGGTTTAGGTAAATATGCACCTGTTCTTGCAAGTAGAGGGGAGATGGGTTGGTGCTCAGTTTCGGTTTCTCAGACAGTAAACGTTTCAGATATCTTTTCAGACTTAAATCTATGCAGCAAGAGCGCCTGCCTAAATTAATTCACCGATGGTCTGGATGTTTTACCACATCTTGGGATAGTAAAATAATGAACCTTTCGAACCAGAATAATTGTACTCACTTACTTGAAATCAGATTGGGCGTTAAACGCTGTATTGGGCATAAAAATTACCTTTTTATTTCAGGATGACGCAGTTAACTGGCACACTTTGCTTTGGAATGATACGGGTAATGTAAATGGAAATAAGTTACGTACTTACAGAAAATATAAGTGTACACCTTCTGTTGATTTCTATGTTAAAAATATTATGCTTAGAGACCACCGCCGTCATTCAGCCAAGTTCAGATGTTGAATTTTACCTTGGTTTGTTGAGACCGGTAGATATTCCAAGCCTTCTATATCACTATCGGAGAGGTTATGTAAATATTGCGTTTGTGATTTGAAGGAAGATGAATGTCACGTTCCACTACAACGCAGTTTTTAATTAAGATTTACGGTATGATTTATATTGTGCAGCTGAAGAAAACAACCGAAATTGTAATGTGATATGCGAAGAAAAGAAGTTTATTTACTTAATGAATTCAAACATTTTACAAAAATTGTTGGCCTCAACGCTTTTTGAAATGTTTAAACCACGACAGTTGTCGCCATGATTATTAAATTTCATCTCTCTCCCTCTATCTATCTACCCTTACTTTTTTTTCGTTGTTGAATCGAGGAGGTTGTTATTGTTTTCGGTGTTCTGAATTCGTAGCTAAATTTCCCACCTCTCACATTATATGTATGCATATGTCTCATACACCTTTTGTCTTATGTGCATCAATTTAATATTGTACATGTTGTGCGTGTGACACCTTTACTACTGACTAGTACCATATAAAGTACAAATCATCTGGGATTAGTTTTTATCATTTGCTGTTGAACAAATGAACGGGCTTGTCTCGATTTGCCACCATCCAAGGGGGATTAACAGTATTCATGTTTTACAAGTAGATGAGGCATGCCAAACAAACATGACAACCAGGGACTGTCAATCGATGCGAGAATTGAGATAAACGCAGCCGTGCTTATTGTTATTGTAACTTATACACACCTCTATTCTACCATTTAGTATGCCCGACCGCGCTTCTAGTTCAAAACAATATGGGGTGGCGAATCGAGACGACCCTTACTAAATATACTGAAAGGAACTACACTTTAATGTCACCCCCCTTAGATGACATTCAAGGTTGACAGGAGTCACATCACCGGTACCGTTGTTACACAATAGAAACCTATCAATTATTAAAACACATCTGTGAGGTCATTCTGTTGTTTGAATGCTCCATTATTTTTTCAGGAATGGGGAGTTGTTTGTCAACTTTACATTATTTTGAACCAACATTTGAATTAATTTCCACTTGGAAAAGACGGAACTATTTTATACATTTATTGACAAGTGAATAATTTCATTTTTTTCCGAAAACGTGTGTCGCCAGCGGGTTTCGAACACGCATCGTTTGATTTTAGAACGTGTAATTGTCAACCTCAGCCACGGCGGCACATGAAGGTATTGTGTGACATTAACTATAAAATATTTTGATAATGTTGCATAATGCTTAAAGCTCAAAATAATATGTATATATTTTGTGTTAGAGCAAGTTACCTACAACGATGTTCATATGTATTGCAATTAGATAAACCTTTGACGAGAGAAAAAACAAATGAGGTAATATAAATATCCCTTAATCAGGGCTCTATATTTCCTATTATTCCCGTCAGCATGTATTAACAATGTGGAAGCGATTGATAAATACTAGTTTAGGACCCAACAAAATTATGAAGAGCCGTGTACCATGCATTGTAAATGTCAGCTCGCGACGGAGCTTGGCGCATATGCACATTTTCAAATATTTTCAACAACAGAATAAGTAGGGGTGAGTTTTAAGTAGGGGAATATCCTCGTAACTCTCAATTCCTTACAAATAATAGGCCTCGGACCCTGCAGGATGTCCTCAGATCTTTGTTTAGCGGTAGCGAGAACTAAGGTCTGATTTTAATGAGATTGCACAACCACCGTGGTGGGATTCTGACGGTGACAAAGCCAAGCAAGACAAATATCATACTCCGTATATATATTCTGTGTGACAAATTCCAATACTGATGTACATGGATATTAAAGATTGAAATCATTTTGTTGTAACAAGAATAAAAATAATTGAAATACTATAAAAGATAAATGGATGTCAATTAAGCACAATACTGAAGACATGTGGAAAGAACTGAATATTTTTAGGAAGCCTAAAACTACAAACAATGTTTCAGGAAACGACTGGCTTAAATACTTAAAACGTGTTCAACAGTACCTCAATGGATACAGTGACAGAATTTCTATTTCTTCAAGACAATCAGCGTGTAACTTGTACAGAAAGAACACCATACTATCTTAACAGCCCCTATAACATTACAAGAGGTAACGAAGTTAATTAAAGAACTGAAACAAAAGAAATCGCACCAGAAAGACTTTGTCTCTCTGTTGATGGTATTGCTTCTATCCTTTTACGCCTCTTCAAAAACACGCTTGGCTGGAAATTACCCCAAAGGACTGGTGGTGTAAATCAGTGGTATGCCCGCTTCACAAGAAAAGAACGCAGGGTGATATGAATAACTACAGGGGAATATCACTATTACCGGTAATAGGAAAAGTCTTCATATTCAAAGGTTACAACAGTGGTATGCCCGCTTCACAAGAAAAGAACGCAGGGTGATATGAATAACTACAGGGGAATATCACTATTACCGGTAATAGGAAAAGTCTTCATATTCAAAGGTTACAACAGTGGTATGCCCGCTTCACAAGAAAAGAACGCAGGGTGATATGAATAACTACAGGGGAATATCACTATTACCGGTAATAGGAAAAGTCTTCATATTGAAAGTTTACAACAGTGGTAATTTGACAATGATATTATATATGAAAATCAAGCAGGATTAAGAAAGCGATATGCAACTGTAGACAACTTATATTTAACAAATGTTATATTTGGCATAACACTTTCTTAGTAAAGTACAGATTCTCGTACTTTTCTTGGGTTGAGTCCCATCCAGGATTCGAACCAACACTGCCAGAGTGAAGTACCTAATCGCCTGCACACAAAGTCAGCGATTTAACCCACTCAGCCTGAACAGCCCATAAAAATGAAAGTCTGACAACTGGTAGTCTAGATCACGTACTTTGTGTACCCCTCTGACAAGTGTAAATTGGCACAGCTCCCATGGCCAAAAGCTATGAATACACAAAGCCATTTATAAAGTGGTCAAATGTAACACATGTTATACTTGGGATAATATTTTCTCAGTAAAGTACAGATCCTTCGTACTTTTTTTGGTTGAATATTGCAAGGGTTTTTACAGATACCAGACAGGGATGTATGCTTAACCCTCTATTCTTCTCATTATTTATCAACGAACTGGTAACTGAAATGGCAACTTCGGATGGTAAAGGAATATGTATCTATGACGACGCTCCAAATATATGTTCTCTTTTCTATGCAGATGATGTAACAAGTTCAAAAGATACAGCAGGGAGACTCCAACAACAGATTCCAGGCGTCAGTAACATCTTGTGATAGATGGGAACTTTCTCTCAACATCAATAAATCTAAAATTGTCGTCTTTTCGGAACGTAGGATATTTACATAATTATAAAAAAAATGTATTATAGAGGATCACAGACTAAAGTAGTGTCTTATTACAAATATTTGGGACTATTTTCACACCAAATTTTCGGGCCCATTGACCCGTGCAACGACAGCATAAGCAGTACAAATTGGTATTACCTATTTTGATATATGGAACCGTAATTTGGGGATTTCACCGATTTGAACAAGTTGAGAGGTACAGACAAAATATGTTAAGAAATTCACGTACCTACCAAATGCTGCTGTTCCAGGAGACTGAGAGAGGAATTCTGTGTTTGCTACACATGTTGTTAAATGTATAGCTAGACTAAACTAT